TGCCGTCACAAGCTCTACTGGCAGCTCTTTACCACTTGAGAGACCTCTCCAGCTGTCTTAAATAACTGGGAGAGTAAGAGTGATTCTTAGCTTTAAGAAATTTGATAACTTGCTTTTATTCTTAAGATTTCATGAATTCTCAGCACTTAAGCCAAAAATGGCACTTTGAGAAGCTTGTCAAATACCAGCCCAGGTCTTCCCCAGAAAGTCTGCCAATGATCAGGATGAAGAGGGGGAAATAAAAGCAACCCCATGCAATATCAAAACTGTTTTGTTCTGTAGCAGCAGTGTGGTTGTTTGCTACCACATTCTTTGTTAATTGTTTGACCATTTTCGTTTGTGGAATTAACTTTCATTTGCTGAGTTAATCGTATCTGCGATTCCTTTGTTTACTCCCTCGAGCCGGGGTCGTAACAGTATACAAAACAAAATTATTATTATTGGGCTTATTACTTTTCCGTGTTGACATGAATACCCACCTGTCCATCCTGTCTTCTCTCCTTTTCTTCTTTCTCTGAAGCAACATGTGAATGTGACCTACTGTTATTCATAACTTCATATGATACTAAAATGCAGTGCCACACTTAGACGGTGTGGCTTACCATATATCATGATCTAAATATCCGAAAGTGACAACCAGGCCCTTTCATTGCGCTGGAGGAAGGAGTGGTGTGCTGCTTTGTCCTGCCAGTCCAGCTTTATTTGAAAAAGAGTGATGGTAGATGACCAGGGCCAGCCTTGCTATCATCACTCCTCAAACCCAGACTCACATCCCTCAGGTGGGGGAAATCCCAGGGGGAATGTGGGGAAAAAACTGAATGACTTAGTTTTTTTATCCATTATTATTTATTATTATATTATTATTATTTATTATCTTAACACAGGTACGAACAATGTTCAGCGCTGCCTTTCCCTGATGGCTCATTGAACAGAATTAAACCCAACAAAGGCTGTAAAAGTTCTGAAACCCCCAGAGCTTGAGGAGATGCTTTTTTACTCACGATAAAAAAATATGGGTTTTTTTGAAAATGGAACCATGTAAACCTGTTCTGGAACAACCCCTAAATAAGAATAAAACCTGAAAACGAGTATAATATGACTACTTTAAAAGAAGTGGCAATATTTAAAAAGTCAGTTGCATGAACATTGATGGGTCATCTACATAATATATTAATATATTAATAATATTAAAATGGCCACAAAGAACAACTCTGTCATGATTTAAAACTAGAGTAGATTCAGTAAGTTCTGCTAAAAATCCTCCAGGCGGTTTTGGGGGGCAATAAGTTATAGCAAATATGATTGGTTGCAGGCCAAAGGTAAAAGTGAGAACATTAAATAAGGCAAATTCATCACAGTGTACATGATGACATTTAAAGTTTTTCCTATGCACACAGCAGGTTCACCCTGCTGCCGTCTGGAAAGAGATCCAGAAGTACCACCAGGCTGCAGAGCAGCTTCTTCTGCCAGACTGTAAGATTCTTAAATTCAAATTCATCCTCAGCACTGCTTACTGCAATATAGTTTATTTCAGTTTACCTTATTTCTGTTTACTACAGACTGCATTTCATTTTATAACCCTGTTGTAATAAGACAATTAAATTTACCTTGTACCTTGCTCAGAATGACCGGTCCGTAAGAATAAATACCACGTACACGATATAAATAAACGGAAAAATCCAATTTGGAAGTGGTGGGTAGGGTGGATGGTTAGATGATTAAGCAACCTGCACCCAGGAGACCGGAGTTCGGTTTCTGTGTGCAAAATCAAGCCAACATGTGTTTATGTTAGTTTTGTTATTAGCGTTAGCAATACTTGTGGTGAGTTTTTTTTGTATTTCGTGGTGTTTATTTTTTAGGGTTGTTTATTTTTTGGTAACATTTCATGTAGCCTTAGCTAACTAACGTTAGCGTTTTTGTAGGTTTAGCTACCGTTAACTCTCATATATGTCATTTTGAAGACATCAACTATCAACCTATTCTGTTGTTTATGATTTCACTCTATAACCTGTTGTATTGTGACAAAAAAATCTACCTACCTACTATGAGGATGTGTTGCGAAATACAAACAAAAAGTAGTAGTGGTACAGAAAATGAATAATGGAACTGATAATTATAGTAATATAATAAATAATAGGACTAGTAATAATTGCAGCAGCAGGTGAATCGCAGCCACAGATCCAGACTCCACAGCTCCGAAACAGAAACACCTGCAGAAAGCGACAGAAGGAGAGAGGAGAGGGACAAGAAAGCACAAGACTACGGGAAAAGGAAAGAGTGGGGTTAGTAACATCCTGGGATGCGGTTGCATACAGATGGAGAGAGAGGAGGAGATAGGAGCTCAGTGCATCATGGGAAGTTGCCCTGCAGTCTAGGTCCATAGCAGCATAACTAAGACGGTTCAGGACTCACCTGAGCCAGCCCTAACTATAAGCTTATCAAAGAGGCATCTGGGTAGGCAGGCTTAAGTAGCTGAGATCACTGGCCATCAGTTAGATCTGCAACACACACAAACATACAGTACAGGTCCAGACACAGGGCTCTGGGGCTGTCACGCTCCTCCATACTGCTCTAAAAATCGACTTTGAAAAGTGTTTCTAGCTGACAGACTCTCTGACTTTAAAGTT